GAAACATAATTTTGAGATTTTGAGGAAAGTTCTCAACTTCGTATGAGATTTTTCGCCTTCGAAGGTCGGACTGAATCCTTACTTTAGGAAAGAGAAAGACCCCGAAAATTCACTTCAGGTTTCGCTCTCAGCATAATATTCCAAAAATTCCATTTTTAAGCATTCCTAATTCTCGATTTGAATTATCTGGGTAGTTAGGAGTGTATAGCACATATCACGACTAAATTAAAGCCTTATCAAAGTGCTTCTGCCCCCGAAGACCACCCAGCTGGCAATTCCTTCATCACCAACAATCCGCCACAAGACAACAGGTCAAATTGACGGGAAAAGTTGCCATCTGCACAGTTGGAGAACACTATTAAGCGCATCTGATCAAAGTACGTAAGCGCACACATGCGTAGGCAAGATCTTGTCGCACTGTGATTTTCTAACACACAAAAAAAGTATAAAACTGCCTTTGATCTGAAGCGATCAAAATTTTTGTTAATTACAGCAATACGCTGCTTATCCAGATTCAAACAACCAATCACTTTATCTTCTGATAACGTTACTGCTTCTGATGGCTTTTCCTGGAAAAAAGCACGTTTCCTCACCTGATTCAACGTTCTTAAAATTTTACAATTTGCAGATATAGCATTCTGTCTGCTGCGAGTAAATGCCAAATTTCCTTAACATATCAAGGAATCGTTGCCAGAAATTCCCAAACCGACAGAGGCTCGGAGAACGATAAGTTTCCACCTCTTAATTAACAGATCAATTTTCGAAACACAACCGAAAGCTTTACTAAGACAAATCACTTAAATATTATGCAGCACTCTGCTAGCTTGAAAAGCTAATTCAACAGTCCGGTATGTAATCCAATGCAAAATATGCAGTCCAATAAAACAGTCTTTTTATGCGCTTTTTGCACTTAGATAACTGCAAAAACGCATACTGACGGGCTTTCTTGTTACATTAATAATATTATAATAATTATCAGAATTTTTGATACTTTTCATGCAAACGAGCTACAATGGTAAATCCCCGCGAGCATAATGTGAAGCCATGTACGAATCCAGAAATGTGAGCTCAATTCTTACTTCTCAAACATTTCATGCGTGACACGTGTTTGAAATGTTATAATTTAAAAATGAAAATTAGAAAAGTAAGAAGACTTTTGTGATTCAAAATCTGACCTGC